TTCGTCCTCTCCGAGATAGAATCGCTGTTTCTCTTCACGCAGATAAAACCACTTTTCATCTAAATGCACGCAGTCCACGTGTTGTTGGGCCTCGGTGCACGAATTCTAAAGCAAACTTGACTCAGTCGACATGCCGCTTCTCTGTTAGCATCGTCTACTCCTGTGAAGTGTGGCTGCGAAACTCACCAGCGCGACACTAGTCATGTAGGGTCGATTTTGGAATACCTAGATTACTCGCTAAAGTACGAATATCCGTGCGATCGTTTAAAGGGATAAGTTCAATGAACCTGTTGAGGTCCTCGCGTAACGCTTCCGTCATGCGGGAGTTGCGACCGCCCTTTCCCTTCCTACCGCTGTCGTAGTTGATGGAGTTGCCTGCTTTGATGTCCTGAACGGCTCTGCGCCACAAACGCGAGATCAGGTCACCGCTAAAGCCATAAATGGCCGCGCAAGCTTGGATGGAGCTTCTTGGTGGCTGTAGCGTGATGCTAACGCTTAGTAGGAATGCAACGACTGTGGCATGATCCGTTAGAGTTAGGGTATTACGTGGCCGAGGTGTTGGGGCGGAGCGTGCACTCATTTGGTAAACTGGCGAAGGGTAAACGTTGAAATCCGGAGTAGTGGTAGTCTTTGGGGGGGGGGGGCTGTTGCTTTGATCCAGTTGTCGGATGGCCGCAGAAAAGCCACGTGTCGAACCGTAAAGGCTGTTCTTAAATTTTAACCAATCAAATTGAGTAAACATGTTGCACTTTGAGCTTAAGTTCGGATTTTCCGTCGAGATTGCTTATATTTTTGGACGGAGGACGAACTAAGTACTGTAAAAGCGGTATTACAAGCCCGGGGCTTATAATATTTGAACCCCTCCTTAACCGGACTTTGAATACAGGGGGGCTCAATTACAATTTTAGCATGTACGAAGACAAGTTACATAAGTTTACGTCTTTTTTTGCAACCGGTGAAAAAAGTACTTTTTTCAAGTCAAACCGAAAAAATAGTTAGTGGCCCTCGTGCTCGCTAGCAACTGTCCCATTGCTTACATTACATATTGTATTGTAAGAAAAGGAACGTTTTGAATGGGACATTGGTTTGGGGTCACTTTGTTGTGTTTTGGTCCTGCTCTGACTTTTTACGTACTTCCGGTTGCAAAAAATCGATCGTATGCTAAAAAAGCTGCAAATGCCGGTATATCGCTATTGCTAGCCCAGAAGGCGACGTCTCTGTGAAGTCTTTTTCGACGTCATCGATATCAATGCCGCTGCCTTCGTTATCAAGGAGAAGCTGGGACATCTCTTCCATGATCTCCTGAGGCTGTTCGCCAGGTAGAGGGCGGCTAACTTAGGGCTGTGTAGCTCATAAAACGATTGGGCTTCTTAACCTAATTCAGTACTGGGGCTCTTACAGAAAAAGGGGGGGTATAATACAGAGATGATCTTGTAATTCAGCTTTTACAGTACATTCAACTACGCACATGACTGAAATCTCTAATATCTATTTCTAGCACTAATGCCGTGCGTTGTCCGGGAAGTTCTGGATATTTTTTGCGTTAAAATAAAAAAAATGATAAAAAAGCAACATTAAAAATGTGCTTTCTAA